GTAAGAGCGGTCCATTTTTTTTAACCACTGATTTAAAGAAACATTTTCCAAAAGAGAAAGAAAAAAGGAAGGAAGGAAGGAAAACATTTTCCTCTTTAGGGAGTTATTAATATAAGAAAAAATGTGAAGGTCTTAATTTTCACAGCTGTAAAATGGTTGTTTGGGGTGGGTGCAGAAAAAACCCCACTAAACTTGTGAAGATTTTAGAAGTGAGTTTTTAGTTGACCCTAAAATGAATAATACGAACCTGGAGTACACAGAGGAAAATACCCAAACCTACTCTGGTACTGATAGTACTAAGGTAAGTTCACTCTCATTGTAACAAAACTTCCTGTAAAAAGACTGAGCATCAAGGGATGTTAATTTGGAATTTTAATTTTCAAGCTTTAGTCTTGGAAGCTTTTCTTTATAACTCAAATGACAGTGGGAAAGAAATAATAAATTTAGGTATGATTCATGCTTACATAACCCCTTTTGCAAAAGAAAAATTCCCAAGTATTTATAACTGATAATATTATATGCCATGTCTAATTGGGGAAACTGAGGCACCAAAACATATAGTTTGTAGAAAGGAAACAGTGAGCCAGTGTCAAAGTCAGTTATGGAACCCAATATTATCTAAACCATATTCCTACCTCAAGAATCACAGAATTCAGCTCTGTGTGATATTATAAATTTTAATACTTTGTTTCAAATGAAAGGAAAATCTATCATTGCCAAAAATTTGAAGGCTTAGCAAAAACATGAAAATCTCTTTAGTCTGAATGCTATGGTCTGATCTATATTTACCTAAGCCCTTCTGACTAGTTCTCCCTATACCAATCACTAAGTTGAGAAAGCACAGACATTTGCCTCATGTAGGAAATGCAAAAGATTAGGTCATCCAAACTATCTGCTTCACTGACTTCTAAATTTCAACAGGAGAATGGGCCCCTGCATTCGCTGGTTACTTTGATAAAACAAATATGGTCTCATAGACTTCACCAGGGTGCCATTTTGTTTTTGTGGTATTGTACCTACCATACAACTCACACGTTTTGTGTTTCTATAATATAAAGTAAAAGATACCTAAATTTAAACTATTTCCAAATCTTTTCAAAAGAACTCAAGCTTCTTTTTCTTTTAATATCCATATGATGTTTCTCCCATAATTTTTTTCCTCTCTTCAATAATTGTACAATAGTAACATTAACAAAAACTGTCTTTAAAATTACAGTAAATTAATTCCTAATCTCCTATTATAGTGCTAAAATAGTTCACAATTCATCTACAGCTTACACTATAAGACAGTTGAATTTAGGGCTTGTTAAAGTGATTTCTTTGGTATATAACACTGCCTCACATTAAGTCAGAACAGTTTTATTTTCTTTCTTGAAAACGTGATTTTATTCTGTGTGGTATGTTGTGCCATTATGGTTTAGATTTTTAGTTTTTTAATTAGTTGAATAGAGAATGTTTTTAAACAAAAATAATTCAGAACTCAAATGCCATTGATGTAATTGACAGAAACAAATCATTATCCACCATGGTTACTATTTGTAAAGTAGCCTAGATTCAAATGCAATCATTGTGAAAAATATACAGCCTGGAACCTAGAGCTAGCTGCTGGAGGTATGTGAGATTTTTTTGGGTTCAAGTTTCTTAATGTGCATTTGAATTTCATACTGGCAGTATAATCACTGAGATTTCTTTTACAACAAATACATAAGAAAATAAGTTCTGACTTGAAGATAAACTATATGCAGATTGGCAAAAAATAGCAGAATGGGATCATGGCTACATTAAATCCTAATAATGGTGATTCCATTTTGGCTTTATGCCATTTTTCATATTTATTTTAAACAAAATTATTTTTTAACATTCAGTTATCTACACCTTTTTTTTTTTTTAACAAGGAAATAAACTGGGCATCTGTTTGACAGAAATGAGTACTTCAAGTATGCAAGTAATTCATTAACAGAGCTATTACACTCTAAGCAACAGCAGTTACAAGAAAAGGGCTAGAATATGCATTTGTATAAAGATTAAATTTCACAACATAATAAATAAATGCACTGATTTATACAATTTGTGAAAATCTTCTACAGATAATTACAAGTAATACTGTCTATGTTGACTTTGCTGATAACAGCACTTAGATATTCAAAGGTAAAATCTTGCCCCCAAAGCCACAAAATATACAAAGCTGGTTTGTTATTAAATATTTTGTCTGCCAAAGTCCAGCAAACTAAAATACATCTTGGCAGTTTGAATACCCAGCATGATAATTATTTTGGTACAAAAGATAGAACAATTTTAATAGGAAAATTAATAAAATCAATAAAAGGAGAAACCTGTTGTATAAATAGACATTTTAACAAAAGTGAGACTTTTATCTCACTTAAGAGAAAAAAAAGTTTGATTAAACTTAAACATTTGAAAATAATTACCATGTTTTCCCAGCTCTAGTCAAATATATTACTTCAATTTATTAATCATCTTCAATATACAATATATAACTCACAAAACTGGGAATGTTACAATACCAAAACCTTTCACAGCACTAGTTACCAGTTACCAGAACTGTAAGAAATCTTTAGTTACATATCAGCTTAATAGTTAGAATATAGAAGTAGACATGGCTAAGCTGTGGTAAACAATAGTGCAATCAAACAGTAAGGACCACAAAATATATTCTTTTTCCTTTTTAGCTTGTATATCTAACTGCATTATCTTACTTCAATGGCATCATTAACTGAGTATAAAACTTATCTTAATACATTTTAAAGTAACCCTATATTACTTTAAGTTTGGCTATTTTACTCTTGAAATGCATTTCCTATGAAATACTGAGACTATTAATAAATTCTTATGCCATGAATAACTTGTAGCTAAAATGAAATAATTTAAAGTTTTTAGAACTTTTAAGTAGTGGCTTTGTTTGTATTTTTCCAACTAAAACTTGGAAGTGCATAAAAAATTAAGAGAGGATATAAATATATGTAAATAGAATATCTTAAGTACATGAAGGAAGTTAATCTCTTCACCTATATTAGTAATATGATTTTTTTAAAAACATTGTTACTGAGCTTAATGCACTCTCAGTTACTCTGCTATACCTCCTTTTTTGAAAAATAACAAAAAGAAGTATACAAATAGATACAGTCCAGCTGTCTTTTATCTCACTGTTCTTTGTAATAATAAATCTTTACAGTTTTTTTTATCCTAACAGAAATATCTCTAAACAAAACTTGGAGGAAATAGTAAAGAGAAAACAACAATAAAGATTAAAAATTAGTGCTTTGCTTATTATAAAGCCAATTATCATGGCCTTTTAGAAGTTTTGGTTGTTTCTTTAGGAAGGTATCCTACATGCTATCCATGTGATGCAGAGACTGCTATATGGAAGTCACTGGGGAGATGCCACAGCAGAGACAAACAAGTCCCAGGCCCCATTGCACTTGGCATGGATGGTGAGCAGAGAGGGCAAGGGAGAGGCATGGCACCCAAGCACTGGGACCTCCTGGGAGTCTGACAGTATTTGAGGAATCTTCACTTCTCATTCTTTTCAGCTGATTTGAAGAGCTTGATCTTTTAAAACTGCCACTTGTATCATCAATCTCTAAACCCACTGTTTTATCCAAATTTCATCTGAAAAATACAGGATGACTTTACAGGGATGGGGGGAGGACAGGAGAGATCCTAGATATCAAGGTTGAGACAGCTTTTATGGCTTAATGAGAAGCTATACCCTTACAGAATTCACATCTACATAACACAAAAGTCCAATATGTTGTCAGCCCAGTCAGAGATAATAGATCACTTACTTTAGAAGGATGTATAGAACTTTGCACTATAATTTTCTAAGTCATGCTTTGCATGAGTATTTCCTTCCTCAATTCCTGTTAAAAATTACTTCCATGAAGATTAAAGTAGTGCCCTCTTTATTCATGAAAATTAGATAAAGTATCTCTCAAAATGTATCAATATGTACACATTAAGTGAAGGATTATTAACCAAAAGCCATCAGGAAAGATCTTATTGTAGAATTAAATAATTTTTATTTTCAAAGTCAAGAATATGATAAAGTATTTTCAGGCACTATTTTAAGGAATGATTAGCTACCTGAAAATAAAGATAAGTTAGCATAATTAACAGACTTAGTCTAGCAAACAAATGCTTTCTCTGAGGGCTTTAATGACACATTTACTTTATTTGCAATCTTGGGTTTTCATGACTAATGATTCATTTAATGTGTGTGTGCTGCCGTGTTCTCAAGCATGAACTATGTCAACAGGATAATCTACTGATAAGAGAAAGTGAAGTTATAAGAAACTGACCCAGTCTTTACTTGTCTCAGTACATATTCTTCTGAAAATATTTCCTGTTACTTAAGTTGTGAACAAATGAGAATGCCACATGAGCAACAAACTGAGTGAATGCAGATTGTTAGTGACTAAGATGTGGGGTGAGGGGCTGGAGAGAGGCCAGCTGTGTTTGTTAGCCAATTTCCTGTGTTCCACCTTCACTACCAAAATATAATAACTGGGTAGGTAGGGTTCATCTAGAGCCAGAATTAGGAATATGGGTGGAGAAGAAAGCTCAGTTAGGGCGATAAATGAGGAGAATAAATGAGTTTTAACTGATTTCTAGGATTAGCTAGAGAAGCGATATGAAACAGTGGGTTGGGGAATGAGCTATTTTGAGCATCTTTTAAAGACCAGAAATCCCTAATATCTAGGAGGAATAAAACATATTTAGGTTAGTGCTAATCACCTGACGAATCTTGTTCCAAGGTTTAGACTCAGTAGGTCTGGAGTAAACCTAAGAATCTGCCTTTCTATAAGTTTCCAGGAGATAAGGATGCTGCTGGTCCATGGACTACATTTTGGGTAGCAATGCTCTAGACCAGAGGTGGGGAACCTTTTTTCTGCCAAGGGCCATTGGGATATTTATAACATCATTTGCAAAACATAGAAAATCATCAACTTAAAAATCAGTCTACTGTATTTGGTTAAACATTTAATGAACTCACCCTTAATGCTTTGGCAGGCCAGATGTTCCCCACCTCTGCTCTAGGCCAATGCTATCTGGTAAAGTTTTTGCAATGATGTATATACTCAACATCTGTTAGTCCACTGTGGCCATTGAGCACTTGAAATGTAGCTAGTGCACATGAGAAACTCAATTTCTACATAAAGTAATTTAGATTTAAATGGCCACTTGAGCCTAGTGGCTATGACATCGGACAGCACAGGTCTAGACATTCGCGGGATGACTCCTTTCTTAGTCACAGCAATGTGTATCATAGTTCCCAATTACCTAATCCACTAATTCACTTAAATTAACGTTTCCTTTTATTAAATACAAACTGTAAAGTTAGTTTCTTTATATTGTCTTCTTCCTAAAATTTTGCTAGATGACCCACAATGAGTGCTCAGGCAAGGAGAGATGAAAGGAGCCATTTTGCAGTGGGACAGTTGATGAGGAAAGGGTAATATATGGCAGTGAGAATTTGAGCAACCATCATATACTGGGCACATGGGAAAACGTGAAGCCAGGAACTGGGAAAGAAATTCAGAGAGGGAGGTGGACACATGGTGCAATACAGAAACCCACGCCTGAAACCGATATGTTCATGTTGACCAATGTCACCCCAATAAATTTAAATTAAAAAAAGAAATAAACTCAGAAAAAATAACAGAAATAAAAGGGAGGTGGAAAGACGCTGAAGAGAAAAATTAAGTTTACACTGAAATTCTACCTAGGCCTGACTCTGTCCCTTTCCTTCTTGAAAAGCACGTTCTTCCTCAGAAAAATGAGACTGAAAGGAAGTGGATTTTGGTTGTGATTCCTTGCCATCCCTCCCAAATTCTCTGCATGTGTGAGCCTAGCAGAGAGGAAAGGTAGCCATTACAGCTCAGCTAGTGCGTGGACTAGCACCGGGGCCTCACCTGCACTCCCCAGAGCTGTAATCAGACCCCCTAGAGAAATTCTTCATCCTGTTTTCTTTGTAACCCCATCTATTACAAGAAGCTGGTTCCTCTGTGACACTGCCAGGTGCCTAAGGAGGCTCTGAGGGCACTACCCTGGCAAACAGGTGTGAGTGAAGTCATTTGAATCCTACACAACTCCACATGACAAAATGTACCAGGAAATGTGCTATCATTCAACAAAAAAGATATCGAAATGGTCATTTTAAAGGATTCCCCTCATCTAAGAGCCACTTGCAGGAGAATTCTACCTACCTAAAGATTCCATTAACTGAGGTTTTACAGTAAATATAAGAGATGGTATCTAAGATTGAAAGATCAACATCAAACCAAAAAGTTCAGTCATTTATATCTTCCTTTTCCATTCTGAAAATGTAATAGCTTAAGAATCTTCTCTATTGGCAAAGAGGTATTTGAGGAAGTGAAAATCAATAAAGATCTTTATATTAATTCATTCTTGTCTAGAGTTCCCACCTCCTTGCTGGATAGGGAGACCGGGCATGTGTTTTATTTTCCCAGGGAAGTGTCTGGAAGAGCAGGACATCGTGCAGGCTGGGGGGCAGGGGACAGGGGACTAAAAAAGGAACTGGAAAAGGCCTGTGATTTCTTAGGTGTGGGTAACATTAACATTTTAAGTGAGTAACTTTTTACACTATTAAGCTACCTGGTATAATTCTCTTTGGAAAATTTCCACTAATTCACAACTGAGGTAAAATATATAGTCAGACACACTTGGTCATGAACCTACCTATCAGGTTTATTTATTTTTAAGATATCCAAATTTTGTGATTTTTCTAGTAGTTAGAGACTAAAGTTGTAAATAAGAATAAAATGTCAAATAATTAAACTTCTTTGATATAATTAAATTATGTCTGACAATAGTTCATTTTAATGCTTTCCCATTTATATTTCTCTTTAAGCATTCAGCAAATAATTGTCTAGAAAATATCAATGAGAGCATATTTTGTGATTATAAGCATGAATATGCATATAATGTATATGGGTGTATATACATATATGTGTGTATATGTATATATGCGTGTGTATATATTCCTATTGAGCACCTACCTAAAACGTTACTTTATGAAAATTGTCACCACTGGGTCAGTACAGTACCCTGCTTACTTCTTGTATATAGAAGATTTTTAAATATTATAATTAATTTTTGGCATATAATATCTAAAAAGAGATTATTTGAAGGTATTTTGTGACTGGTTGATATGTATGCTTTTGGCTTTCAAAGATTTGATAATTGCAATGTTGACTCCTAATGAGCTACACTGAAGTATGATGGTTAGAAAAAGAAAATAATATCTACCTGATAAGATATAAGAATTACATGAGATAATAATAATAATGTAAAGGCCTTTAAAAATTTTAAATTTCTCTTGTTGGGAGGAAGTTCATGTCAAGCATAACTTTAGCTAGTGGGTGAGTCTGGGTGAGTGATCAGTATACAAACCACAGTTGAGACGTTGAAGAAATTCCTGGATGTCAACAGTTACTATATATAAATGCAAACACAGCAGTAAGTAATTATTAAATTGAAATGGAAAAATAAGAACAAATGTGGAAAATTTGGTTTGGAAAGCATAATGTTGTTAGACAACAGAATGTGTAATTTTATGAAACTATCCAGGGAATTTTCTTAATGTGCATACCTACTCTTTATGATAGGTTGACAAAAATTGGCTTGCCTAAAATGTTTATCATTTGTTGATTATGGCATAGACACATGTTCACAAATTCTTAGATAGAGAATATTTATGCAAAGTCCACATCAAAGAACAGAAAAGTGCCTATAGCTAACAAAAAGGTACTTAGGTAGTAATAAATTAATCCCATTAAAACTGACATTAACACTAAGTTTTACAATAGTAGATGTTGGACATGCAAGAAAGAGACAATTCAGGCAGCAACACCGTGCATTAAGATTTGCGTTCATTCATTCATAGTATTTGAGGGATTTTAACCCTATTATTTGACCACAGGACACTAGGAATCTGAGGTGATACCAATCTAACATTCAAAACACATCTTTATATATCTTAGTCCTCTAACCAACGATTTTCAGGAGGAAGCCAATGCCTCCAATAATGAGACCTAAGAAGTTTTAGCCATACACTATTATGTGAGTGCACAGTAAGACCATTCCATCTGACCAGGTTTAAGGAAAGCAAACATTCTGCAATTTCACCTTTTGTACAATGCAATTGTCTCATCATACTGTTTTACTTATATGAGCAAATTTGAACATATCAGGTTTGCACAGTAAGAAAATAGCTTTGTGGAATGTATTTTTTGGCACAAAAATATTTTCTAATACCTCAAATCAAAATTTTCACCAATGGCAAAATATCAAGCCATGGAGGTGCTTCAGTGGTGCTTACTTATCTGGGCAGAAAACTACACGAACAGTCAACTGCTTCCAAGGACTTTGTATTAAGTAGCAATTACTTTCCTTCTAAGGAATAGCACCGATATGATTACACCTCAGACTGGGGAGGGCTCCTTCCAAGCTCTTTAATTCCCTGGAGAATTCGCTTCATATGACCCACTTTCGATATCCCCAGGTCCTAAACGAAAAAGGAAAAAAAAAAAGAGGTGGGAAGGTAGAGAAAGAAGTTTATTGACAAGAGAAAATTGGAGATTAAATATTAAGCTTATAATTAGCATTCACTTCATTTACTTTAGTTTATATTTAATGATTCAGGAAGTAAAAGCTAAAAAATAAGTTTACAAAACAAAAATAACCTGACACTGAAAAAATACCAACCAATAAAATACACAAACTCTTAAATGTACATTCTCATGAATTATATACAATGGCAGTTCTTCTAGAGTCTAAATTAGTTTCTCTTTGCTCTTCTTTTCTTAAGAAACACAGGTCCATTTGGGATCTCTGTGAAATGCTAGGTGTGACACATGGGTATCCACATTAGCCTCCAGGCAACTACACACTTCCTTGGTAAAGTGAACTTAAACGTGAGGCCTAATCCTGAAGGAAGACACCAGTGCCCATTACCTACATTTGGAACACAAATGCAGTTAGTTGCAGCTGCACCCACAGTCTTTGATTTCTGGGGAATATTTAAGTATTCCTCACACTTTGTAATGTATAAGTGTAAAAAATTTCTTAGACATAGGTATCTGTGGGTTGGTGTTTTTCCTCCACCTCTTTTGGCTCCTTTCCCTCAGAACTCTTCTCATTTCTTAAAGAATTATTTTCTATAAAGAACCAAGATTCAATGGTTAATTTTCAGAAATGGATGCTGATTGCAGAGTGTGTAGCACAGAGCAGGCACTTAGCAAATAAACACCTGCTGCAGGAATGAATGAAAGCCATCTAAGAGAGCCATAATATTCACTATCTGAGAAACTAAATGAAAGGGTGATGGCCTCCAAACACGACAGCCTTCTTCAGGTGTAAGGGGCATAATATGTGAAGTGGAATATTTAACTTTACAAAAGAGTTTAAAATATTTGAAAATTAATAAAATGATTAATTCCAAAGCAGCCTAGAAAACAGGATACGGTACCACAAGATTATTTTTCTGAGAAGATAAAAATTCCAAATATCCACTTTGTTCTGCAGACTAAGAGCACTGTTTACTTTTAAATGAAATAGATCAACCTGTTTTAAGTACACACACACACACACACACACACACACACACACACGCAGTTTCTCCATAAACTTTATGAGCAATCTGAATTCCATAGCAGCAGTGTTCCTGAAGCCTCTGAATCCTTCTGGAAAATACTCTTTCCATAGCCAGTGCTCTTTTCAAGCTTGAGATAATTTCAGGGTAAAATTCTTACAATATTTAACTGACCCTGAAAAATATTTTCTCATATGACACCAGGTCATCCACAATCAGTCTTAAGGCAACTATATATTTTCCTTGCTTTTGCTAAAATAACAAAAGCAAGGTCAAATCCTAGAGGAAGATTAAATTGCATTTATAGTTGTATTCAGATTCTTTGATTTGCGTGGAATATTTAATATCCTTTATGCTTTGTGATAACATAGTTACCTGGGGAAGCAACCCAAGTGCCTATTAATAGATGAGTGGGTAGAAAGTTGTGGTACATATGTAGAATGGAATATTACTTAGCCATAAAAAAGGAATGAAATCTTACCATTTACAACAGCATTGATGGACCTAGAGGTTATTAGACTAAGTGAAATAAGACGGAGCAAGACCATATATTTTCATTTACATGTGGAATTTAAAGAACAAAATTAATTTACAAACAAAATTGAAACAGACTCACAGATGTACAGAAAAGACTGATGTTTGCCAGATGGAAGAGGGGTTAGGAGATGGGTGAAAAAGATAAAGGGATTAAGATGTGTAAATTGATAGTTCCAAAATAGTCACAGTGATCTATAGCATAAGGAATATAGTCAATAATGCTGTAGTAACTATGTACGATGCTAGGTGGGTGCTAAAAATATGAAGGGGTACACTTTGTAAAGTATACGATTGACCACCACGCTATACACCTAAAACTAATATGAAATAATATTGAACGTAAATTGTGATAAAAAAAATTTAAAAAATTTATTACATTCTGAAAATATATATATTTAGCACTACATATTTTATTTTAGGCCATATGCACATTGTATTCTCAAGAATAAAAACTTTTGAGAGGCCAGATTCTACTCAAAATTAATACTGCAGTATAATGAAATGAATGTTTCCCATAGAGCTACACTAACTTATTAGCTATATTTTCTTTCTTTTGAGTTCAGTACTTTCATGTTTTCTAGGAGTTAGGCTGTGATAAAGTTATGCCTTGATATTAGTTATATGTTTCATAATTTATTTTTCATAGTCTTTATTATTGGCTTTTGCTTTCTTTGGATTAATAGGCCTAATTTTGCAGAGGCATGCTTTGTAGATATTGAGGTACCCTTCTAGTCACACATACACAACTTTCCAAATAGAAAAAAAACAAGAACCAACCGAACAAAAACCACTGTGTCTTTGTCATTTTCTTTGGTGTCTATCAGTTTTTCCTTCTGTCTTCCAGGAATAAAAATAATGCAATCAATCAGTTTATTTGTCTGTTAAAGCACATTAGGAATTTTCTCCCTTTGTCACCTCTGGACGGTCACATTACTATCTCTAGTTGTTTTGGTGATAAGGCAGTAACACCTGAGCCAAGAACTGAGCAGGACTTAGCCAGGTGAGGTCAGGAGGAGAAGCATACTATCAGAAGGTACACTCCTAAGGTGAGAATGAGTTTATTATTTTTAAGCAAATGAAATAAGCAAGGGGCCAGTGATTCCATAGCAGGTTAAATAAACAGGCAGATCCTGTTGGCCTCACAAAGATGTGAGTCTTTATTCTAACAGAAAGGAGAAGCCACTGAAATGTTTTAAGCAGAAAGTGATATGTCTAATGTTAAAATTATCACTCTGGTTGCAATGGGGATAATGTGCTAGAGAGAGCAAGAGTAGCAGTGGAAGGGAGAGCCAGGAAGCCACTAACCTTACACAGGCAGAGGGTACAGTATCATGGAGTAGGATATGGACAGGAGAAAGCAACCTGACTTTGTGATGGGCTTAATGAGTTAGGGGGAAAGGATGAGAAAGCGGAAGGTGCCAAGTATGACCTTGGGTTTCTCTGGCTCAAGCACCTGGAGAGAGAGCAGGGTGGTTTACTAAGAGCACTGGAGAAGGGGCAGAATGGAAATGGGATAGGAGCTCAAAAGTTTAGTTTTGGACATGTTAAGATTGACATCCATATGTGATAGCCAAGTATCAAGTAGAATAATCCTAAAGTTCACAAATGAGGTCAGGGCTGAAAATACAAACTTGTGAACCACTGATATAATATATTCATAGACAGTGTAAGTAATCCTTCACATTTAGAGACGTGACCCTGAAGGGTCTGCTGTTTCTGGCAGCTACAACCACAGAGACCCAGGGCAACTCATTTTCTACCTTCATGGTTTTGTTCTACTGAAGGATCTCTCTGTAAAACTATTTTTCTCCTTTCCCATTTCCCCACACTCTGTTTTAGAACCAAAAGAACTATTAATGCAAATTTCTAAAACAAAACTTTTAAGAAAGAATGTTATTTATATTAAAAATAAAAACAAAACAGAACCAAAGGTCCCATGAAAGCTGAAGAGAAAGTTTACTAAAATAATTCTTGACTATCTACACTTAGCTCTTATTCTTTTTTTCCAGCCTGGTCCTTCCACTCTAACTTTGACTTAGTATAAGTATATGCTCTTTTTTTTTCATTCTGCAAATATTTGCTTCACTCACTGTGTGTATTTTCATGTTTATATGTGTTTCTCATGTACACATATAAAATGAGCATGCACACACACACCCACACACTGTCTAATCCTTGAATGATGCTTATCTATAGAAAATGAGATGCAAACTTCTAGAGGGCAGATACCCCCCAGGGAAGCTGGTAGAACGTTAATCAGTAGCTATTCAATAAATGTTGCTGCCTGCTGATGACATCAGAAGCTACATAAATAAGTTGGAAATAACAATCCCTCACATTTATTTTGTTGTGTACATTCAAGTTTTGAAGCCAACCTTTACTTTATGAGCTCTAACACCGTATCTTTTGTTGTATTCTAGATTTGGGACTCTCAACTAAGAAAATTAATTAATCTATTATTTTATTACTAGAGGCCTGGTGCATGAAATTCATGCATGGGTAGGGTCCCTAGGCCTGGCTAGCGATCAGGGCCGATTGGGGCCTTCTTTCTGGCTGCTGGCTGGGGCCTTCCTTTGTTCCGTGCCAATTTGCATATTAGGCATTTATATATATAGCTTACTCTGGGTTAAAAATGTTTAGGTATAAATGTCTGTCATTGTGCTAAAATTATATGACTCTGCATTCTAAACAACTATACATTACCCTTTATCTGTTCAAAAATGTCTGCTAATGTACTTATAGATAGACACAGACAGTTCATGAATTTGTCAGGAACTAACTGTATCAAGCATTTTAGAAATTGGTCTACAGGAAAGGGATCACTCCAACAAATACTGAAGGCTTTGTTGCTTGTTTATTAAGCACCTTGGAATTTTAATCTGGAAACATGTGGTAAAAAAACGTAACATGACAAATCCTACTCCTAACTCTGAGACCCAAGAGGCTACTTTGGCCATTTTTATTGTTGAGTCTCTACTGATAGAATGAAAGGGAATTGCTGTAGATCATGAATTAATGATTTTCCTTTTCCATCATAAATGACAAATAGGCTCTGAGCTGCTTCTAGTAAAAGGCATAATTTTTACTTCCGTTACTAAATAAAACACATTTATTTTTGAGAAGAATACAATTTTAATAAGTCATAGAAAGAAATTTGAATTTATCGGTCTAGTTGTGCCTCTGACATCAATTTAGAAATGCAAAATCACAGGACTGCTATAGGTATCTCACCTAGTTCCATATATTAGGAAGGCTTTGTCATTGATATTTTGAGTTAATTTTTAGTTGTTAGCCTTATATTAGATTTTTAAAGTTATTTTCAGCAACAATTATCACCTTTCATGCTAATCCAGTAGAGTGAGCAGATGGAAACATCATCCATTTAAAAATATTAGCATATAGAGACAGCCATACCAATGAATGCAGAGAAAAATTACTAAAGTCATGCTAAGCTTTAGCTATAATAGCCGGAGAAAGATTTTGACAGGAAAATATTGCTGACATTCTTGTTTAAAAAGCATACAAGGAATTCAGACCACAGGACAATGCATATTAGATTACTGCACGTTTGCATAACATAAGCCAAGCTATAAGCACGTAACAGGAGAGGCACAGGAGGAGGGATTTTGTTTTGCAAGAAAAACTTTCAAGAGCAAAGAGTAGCACAAAGGAAATACCTTAAGATCTCGCCTTTCCAGATGCAAAAGTTCAGCCCCTCTGATGTCATGACGGATGAAGATTTCTTTGTACTCTCCCAAATTGATCAGATCCAGCCAAGCAGCAACTTCCTCTGTGCCCCATTTCTGAACTACCAAAGTTAAGAGCAAAACCCCCTTAATTTCTACATGCTCAATGCATTACAAAGCAAAGGTTGGCCAAAGGAGATGCAAACAGAATACAGCAGCAGTGCTAGCAGAGGGAAAGGTTAAAGGTGTTTCAACAAAACTACAGTTCCATTTCTTCCCCATGCAGGTCAACATAAGGACCACAAAGACATTCACTGCAGTGCACCTGTGTCCTTAGCGTTAGCTCAATGTCCTCGTTAAAGCCACCCAAACTACACAGTATGTACAAAAGATGTATTTCTCATAATTGGGATTGGTAGTACAAGGTCTAAATAAGTTCTGATGATTTCCTTAAGATCATATATGAAACTAGTTATAGTTTAATTAGCTACAAATGCTAATTAAAATTTAAAATCTAACACAGGGTACTAAATTTTAGACAAACTTCTGCTTTAAGTCTTGCTGACTTCAAGTGCTGCCTTTATTGATTCTACTACTATTGATAATTATAAAAATAAATGTCCTGTTAAACTGATTTAACATCATCTAAAAATAGTCAACACTACTCTAAGATTATTTGGATTGTTATTTTTCAATAGGTATAATCATTCTTTTACATACTTGACTCAATATTGATTTGCTATTTAAAAGCCTTCTTATTTGCCATATTTGGTTTTGAAATGCCCTTTAAGAGCTGCTCTTTGATTGTCAAAAATCAGATTATATATCACTTTTGACAAGGTGATAGCTGACTCAGAGAAATTAGAAACTGATTTGATGGTGAAAGGCACCAACCATCATATACAAAGAACTTGAAGTTGCTTTAGCTCTAGCATAGCGTTAAATGGAAGCACTAGGGAAAGGTGGGAAGGGAACTAGAAAGACAACTTCAAAGAGAATTTAATCTTTGCTTGAGAATGCAAATGTCACAGTAGATTGCCAAATGGTGTAGTAAGTCCTTAAAACAGGAGAAAGAAAATACAGAACTTTAGGTAGAAAATATATTTAACAAGCTAAAGGAAAAGATGGAAGTTTCTATGTTCCATTTATCGAAATGATCTAGATTTTAATTTTGAAGAAGAGAAACAAGTTAGACGCCGAGGCCTTGAATTGCTGGTGAGCAAGACAGAGAACCATTTGCATGGGTGCATGACAGCCACCAAACCAAGTAAAGCAAATCAGCAGCCACTGCATTTTCTTGTGTGCTTCATAACTACTGATTCCTACTGATATTGGACATATTTTAGGTACAATATAATTTTTTATTATAGTAAAATGAACATCAAATGAAACTCCCCATTTTAACCATTTTACAGTGGCATTTAGTACATTCAATATGTAGAACAATGATTGCCATTTTCTAGAGCAGTGGTTCTCAACCTTCTGGCCCTTTAAATACAATTCCTCATGTTGTGACCCAACCATAAAATTATTTTCGTTGCTACTTCCTAACTGTAATGTTTCTACTGTTATGAATCGTAATGTAAATATCTGATATGCAGGATGGTCTTAGGCGACCCCTGTGAAAGGGTCGTTCGACCGCCAAAGGGGTCACGACCCACAGGTTGAGAACCACTGATCTAGAGCATTTCATCGCCTTAGTGGAATCATTGTAATCAGTTGTTTTTCTGTAATGCTATTCATTCCCTCCCACTGTGGACCACCTACCAGGCTGTGAGCTTATCTTCTGCTTCTGCACCTTTTCCTTTTTAAATTTTGGCACTATGCGAAACACTGTGCTTCTGCTGTTTCTCTTGGTGCAATCCATAGGAGGCTCCTGTTCGAGTGGAGCAAGAAGAGAATTTTCTCAGGACAGTAAAAGAAGAAAACCTACTCTAATATTAGAGACAACGCAGGACTCAGTTACTAACAAAAAACATTGCTGACGGGATAACGTCTTCAAAGAAGTTCATGCTGTCATATACTACTGAAAATGTAGTGGTTCCCATGTTACCTTGGTTCACCTAAAAGTAATATTCAAAATTTATTTTCCTCTGGATATCTCTTTTGCAAAAGATGGATTCAAATTCTATCATCATCAAGTTGACACTGACCGAGAAACAGGCTGAATTTTACATACCTCGTCCTCATTTGGGTGGAGGATGTAATAAAGCCAAGGGATCTCTGTTAGCTTCTGCAGCTCCACCTCCACAGAGTGTAAGGCACTGGACACCCGCTCCTCGTGTGGGGATTCCAGCTGCTGGTTACCAGCAGGTCAAAAACAAAGCAAAACAAGGCTCAGTGCTCAACCCAAATAGAGTAAGTTATTTTATTTGATAATGAACACCTTCATCGCTTATTAGGCTAGGCTAGGTTGTGGTTATTGCTGTAGTTGTTTTTAATATAAAGGAATATTAGGAAAGAACAAAAAATCTTACATGGGGTTCATTGAAAAAGACCTGGAAAGAGTTATCCTTACTTCCCAGGATATAAGTAATTAGTGTGACTTTTGCTCTAGTGAGTAATCTGATTATTCTTACTTATTTGTGGCAAAAATCCTTCTGATTTACATAGATCACTATGTGAACAAACAATAATATTTTTTAAATTGGTCAAAAAATAGATCATATAAAAAGAACTGCTTGGCACAAAAATCTCCTGGAAAATGAAAAATAATAAGTTTAATTAAAAAACAACAACCCACAAACCTCAGAAAAATTTGTGATGAAAAGCTGTTGTAAAAATCAGGGCAAGGCAAAAAGCTAAATGGCTTGTAATCTGGAAGAGGGTTTAGAAACTTCAACAATCATTTAACTGGTCTCCTATTAACCACCCATTTGAAGCAGTTATTAGAAAGCACTTATAAATTCAATAAATAAATAAAGGTGAAACAAACACTATTATGTACAGAACTAGAAGGGAGGTGACTGATTCCTAGTCCCAGACTTGTTACTAACTTTGCAACCAAGGGAAGGTCCATTGATTTCAGGAGTCTTAGTTTCCTCCTCAATGAACAGTAGAATATGACTAGATTATTTCTAAGGTCTCTTCTAGCTAATCAGTATTTTTATAAAGTACTTTACAGTTGTAAAGTAACACATATAGGTTCACAGAATTTTAAACTAAAAGTTCAGAGAGAATATTACTGTTATCTATTATGGATGCTATTTCCCCCCCTCTGTTATTTAAGGTTTACCATTTCTACTAGTTAATAAAAATATGGAGGGCCCTGGCTGGGTAGTTCAGTTGGTTAAGCCCTGTCCCGATACACCAAGTTGCAGATTCGATCCCCGGTCAGGGCACATACAAGAATCAACAAATGAATTCATAAATAAGTGAAACAACAAATCAATGTTTCTCTTTCTTTCTTTCTTTCTTTTCATCTAATTTATCTCTCTTCTTCCTCTCTCTCTCTCCCTCTCTCTCAAAAAATAAAATTAAAATATAGAGATTCTCCAGGTTGTCATATAAAATTTACCACTTTCCTTTTTATTCTAAAAATCTCTCTCTTATAAAATTGATAAATGGTCATTACATATTTATTCTAGAATCCAGAAAAAGAGTAAACTTCAGTTGCTCTCAAATATGATTCTTTTTATTGTGATATCAATATTGCCTAAGGTAAATTTGATAAAATTTAGTGGTAAACATTTTAGACCAAACATACATTTTTGACAGTGACAGAAGAATTAAAAGTGAGGGAAGTCCTTATGTATTAAAATAACGTAACTGATAAATATTAACCAAATAACATTTAATGGATACTTTTGGTATAGAGAACTAAAATACAGAATAAGTTATGCTTCTAGTTCTTGTCAACTAGAAATTACCTTAAATGTACTTCAAATAACACAAGAAAATATACCCGTCCTCCATCTAAAAATTGGGACCAAATCCAGCTCACTGGATTTCCTATGGGACTAAGTTTAGAAGAGGAGCAAGAAGATTCTGGTTAATAATAGAAGCATGAAGAACAGCCAAGATTCCCACTGTTTTTATCAAAAGATGTAACCAATATTTCTTCCTAAAAATTATTCTTCATGGCCACAGCAGAAACAGTCACCTCTTGCCTTAAAGAAGCTATATTTCAGTTTCCTCAGTAGGTAGGTGAGAGCAATGGACTTCATGTAGCCTTTAGCTCCTCCTCTCAGAATAAAGGATGCTGCGAGGGCCACACTCTTCTGGACTCCAATCAAACAGAAATTCCAACTGCAGTCACTTATTAGTTAGCTAAACTATAGAACACAGCTCCCATTTTCCCACTGTGACAGATACTATGAATTTTACTATCACTTTTATTTAAGTGTATATTTAAATACAAAACAAGAGATAAAATTACAGTCAAGAGAAATGTTTTAAGATCATCACCTATTAATCAGAACTGTTATAGGAAGAACATAGTTGCAACAGCATGTGTGAATAAACCACAATTGAACACTAGGTGGCGAAAAGACCCAACATGCTGGAACGTTTGAAAACACTAAGAATAAAGGCTGACAAGGCAAGGATTCTGGGCAAACCAAACAGGATATCTATGATCTTCTAGCACTTATGTGTGGTCAATGGGCCGTGGTCATATTCCTGATGTCCAGCACCAATCTGCGTTAATTTAGGGAAACAGCTAATTCCTGAAATTGAGTTTTGAAAAACTAAGTCTAGAAAGTGTCTTTTTAAGCAAATTTACAAAACCATACCAATCCTATTTTAATGTTAATTTTGAGAACAAACCTATGACTTCCTCTACTTTTCTGCAATAATGAGTTAGTGATACCTGAGGAATGTCTATTGTACTTTATAAAGCTCACGTCTCTCAAAACTGACTGGGCAGAGCAGGATTGCATAAACATATGTTGGCATATGTGAGGAGTAATCTCTTGCAGGCCTGGATCATAACTCCCAGAGTTAGCCATGTATTTTCTTGAAGGACAATCTAGGTAAAAAGGAAGCTCTGAGGATGGGGGCCAGAAGGCTGCTTTTGCATTAGAATCTGATAAATGCATGATTCCCTAATGAAGGTAAGGTCCACACATGTGTCATCATTCTTATGTGATCAACCATTTCTTTTCCTTACCAAAGGAACTCTGCCAACCAGTAAAGATTCCGTTTCATTATATAGTGCCTTCACATTGATGGCTATTTCAGTGGCAGTGTCTCTCGTAAGACTCTAGGAAAAAAAAAAAAATCAAAGATAAGTAGTTTTGTATTAAACTGGAATTCAATCATTAGCAAATATTCTCAATTTTATTCTTCCAATTTAAATTCACATCACAAATATTTTTAAAATCTACCAAAATTCTATTATAATTGCACAATTTCATGGTCATGTTTGTCAGCATAATTACTCTTCTAATTCTGTAACCACCGACTACAGTGGATACACCCAGGACCATATCTCCTAGGTACAAATACTTATATGTGATAACAGTATATACATATTCCCATAAAGGAGTTAGCAAAGAAAATCATGTTTTAAAAGGGGGATTATCTGATCATAATTAGTTCCATCCATGAATTTCACTCTCAGTAGTTCCAACCAGATTGCTTTTTAGACTTTAACTTGAAAGACTAACACTTATTTGTATATTATTATAGTTAACTTTAATTGAACAATTAAACATAAAATGTTATCTGTTTTCTATATGTTATATAGCCTTTTATAATATGTCACATTTCAAGGGAGTTATATCCACTCTATTATTAACTTCTACATTAAAAAATTGGGGGGAAAAATAACTGAAGTTATAAAATTTTAATTTCTACATTAAAACTTGTTAAATTTATTAGTTTGGTAAAGCAAAATGAAGTAAAATTAATTTCAGTGCACAACTTCAAAAATGAATGAACATCTTTAATAAAATGCACGATATCTAAGTTTGTTCTGCATCTAGGTGTAGGGGAGAAGGTAAAATGGGAAATAAGGAAGAATGGTAGTAGTTAAAGAGAGAAAGAGTAGAAGGATAATAGCAAGGTGACAACTGATGGAAAGTTAAATAGAAAACATGAAGAGATGTAAGATCAGGAATGGAAAAATGCCAGGGAGAAGAAAATAAAAGAAAAATTTGGGAACAAATTTACCATAAGTTTCTGGCAGATTCATATAGACTACATCATGTTCATCATGTTCTTTCTATAGAATTAAAATATATATGTCACACCAAAAAAGTCTGTGGAATGAAAATTTACCATTAGCTCCTCACCTCTGGGAACTGGGGGTTGGCTTTATTCAGTGCATGGGAGCAAGCATTCACAGCGTGGGCCAGTTCCTGCTCTAAGAGACAGTGGATTGTGGCTGCATCACAAATCCTGAAAGCAAAAACAAAACAAATGAACAAAAGACTGTTTTGAGCACTGCTGATTTTTCTGAAGTGTAGAAATGGTAGATTAAAAATATAATAAAGGTCATTAAGAACATTTTTTAATGTTCAATTATGAATGGCACAGGGTAGATTTACAAAATTCAAACCCCACTGAAACAAAGAATACTAACCAAAAAAATTTATATATATAGAAGGCTAATATGCAAAGTGTCCTCTTGGGAGTTCGACCGAGAGAATGGGTGTTCAATTGCTCGCTATGATGCTATGATGTGTGCTGACTTCCAGGGGTGGCACAGAATGAAGGCGCAGGCCAGGCTGAGGGGACCCCCGCCCCCACCTCCCTGTGCAAGAATTTCATGCATTGGGCCTCTAGTCTTTATATAAAAAGTTAGGCTTAGAATCAGATAAATATATTGAAGTGCTATTTGGAAAAGCAAAATATAGTCACACTTCATTTTGCAGTATCATTGGAAAGTGAGAGGGGTCCCAAATATAGAGAGTAGAAACCTATCTTTTATTCATTGAAAATTCCACCAGGAACAAATACAACAGATTAAGAGAAGAACATTGCCTTATTTATCATCTGTATGCTAAATGTTTTATATATATTATCTAATTTAATATTCACAACTTAAAAGGTAGCTGTGATTAATTTTCTCCACTTAATGAAGACATGAGGCTCAGAGAGATTTAATAATATACACAAAACTAATAATTAATAGAGTCAGGATTTGAATCTATGTCTATCCAGCTCCAAAGACTGTTGTGCCACCGTTCTCTAGAATTGAAACCTTTAAGAATAGTCTTAGAAAGACAAAATCCTGAAGGGCACTAAGGAAGAGAAGAGGCCAAAGAAGAGAATAGAGGAAAAGTTCCAACTGCTAGAAAATGATGTAAGGTTTTTCAGATGAACAAGAAGGCAAGACTATTCAAACCCTTTTTGCTTGGCACATTTTCAAGGAGAATGATCTTCAATCTGGAAAGGGTAGAACAAAGACGAGACGAGATGGAAATCCTACATAGTTAAATCAAGAGTAAAGGAAAAGAATTTAATTCTTAAGGACCATACAATTGATATCCTCGTTCTAAAAGAACTTGCAAGTGTCACCTCAGCATTCTCACCAATAACCTTGAGAAATCATAAAGAACAAGTTATTTATCAGAATAGAGATGAGTAAATGTTTTTCTAATTTTCAAAGAGAAAGAGGCAAATCAACTTCACATCAACATTCCCAACTGCTAACTGAATCTCCTCCTAGATATTTCTAACGTAATTGAAATTCTCTTAGCCTAATATGGAACCCAACCATCATCTTTCTCTCAAAATCTGCTCCTCTTCCTGAATACTATGGCTTTATCAAAGGCAACACAATCCATCCAGCCTTTCACTAGAAACCTTAGGCTCATCCTAATTCACACCCATCTACCAATTCTAGATCCCACTCTACCTTAAATCATCTTCCTCTTTCCATCTCTCCTGCCTCAATCCATCGTTCCCTAAGGATTCTTCTTCCAAGACTCAGCTAAGCGGTCACTTCCTCTAGGCAGCCTCCCTCACTGCCTCTGGCCTCCTCGGTGTGACACAGCACCCACTGTGTGACCTGTGACAACACTTCAGCCACACTTCTCCCTTCTACTACTCTGCCAGCAAATTAAGAAGAGGGACTGCAACACAGTCACCTTGGCATTGCCAGTGACTAAACTGATGCCTGGCACACAGAACATGTTCAAATTATTTCTTGAATATTGAATGAATAAATTTATTCATTTGATATTCAAATTGACTAGTGTGACTGATTTTCACCTTTTGCAAAATTTAAAAAAAACAGATGGGGAACTAACTAGGTTGGCCAAAACCAAGTCTGGCCAAAGTGTACTTTCCTTTTTTGATAAGGTTATTTGGTTGTTGGACAGGATGATAATATAGGAAGTATATTTTGGTTTCAAGAAAATGACATAGTTCTATCTTTAAATTTTTGAGGAACATCCAAATGTTTTTTATATTATGTATTAGTTACTTGATTGTGGTACATATTTTACAGTGTTAATGTACATCAAATCATCACATTGTACACCTTAAATATAATTTTTATGCTAATTATACCTTGATAAATCTGGGGGGTAAACTGTAAAATGGAGTCCATAGATGTTGTCTACAGTATCTAAAAGAGAAGTATTTACTCTAAAACTAATATCTCTGTGGATAAGAATCTAAATGTACAAAAATGCAGTCATGTGAGTTTAGCTGACTCAATATTCATTTTCC